CCAGGGGTCCCGGGGGGGTCAGGGCTGGCGCTGCTGGGCACACGGCGTCCTCGCTCTGCTGCTGACACTCCTCTAAGTCGTGTGTGCGAAGGGAAGAGCTGCGGCACTCGAGAGCTAAGTATCTGCTGCGAGCAGTGAAAAACGAGGCGTGAAGAAATGCAGTAAACTCTTTGAACAAAGGCTCTTTTCTGCTCCTCGAGCGCTGGCAAAGGTGGAGTCAGGGCAAGGCAAACTCGAGCCCGAGTGAGGTTCAGTCGATGCCAGCTTGAAGATAGTAAGAATGTGAGCCCAGTAGAATAAATAAATATACGACCTTTCCAGTGGTAAAACTGGACAGAGCACTTATAAATTCCTGTGTCCATGTACACATTCTTTTTCCACAGCCCTGCTTTGTTTAACCAACCAAAAAAAAACCCCCAAATTGTTCCAAACCGTTTTTTCTCCGTCCAGGGGCTTCATAAAGTAATTTGTGAAGCAAACTCTCAGGAGTAAAAAGTGTGTATCTGCTAAAACTGATCTCGGTCAATTCTAAGTGAAGAATCAAGTTGGGTGATGTGGTGGTTGATAAGAGCAAAATGCCTTTAAGCATCTGTAGTTTTGTATTCACTGTGTTTTTGGCAAAAAGAATCATCCACAACTGTCTAAAGAGCAGCAAAGACATGATCATTTAGTTCTTCATTGTTAAATTAGCTAGAATCTTGTGGTTTGTACATTTAGAAGATACTTTTAGCTTGGTCTCCCATTTAGAGATGGAGTATCCTTTAAAAAAGCCTGCAATAATTGTGATTGAAAGAAAGCAACAAATCTCACTGGAAGGTATCCAACCTAGTACAAATGTAAACAGGAGTACTTTTTAATGCAGCAGGTTGTAAACACAGCCTGACCCTTTAATAGAACAGCTGGGGTATTAGGCTCTGTGTTAAAACAACAGCCCTAATATGTAATGCCTAAGGAATGACTCAAAAAAAAAAAAAAAAAAGATGGTATTACCTATTCGATGTAGTGAGTTACAAAGAGGTCTTGGAAGCCTAAAGGGCTTTCTGAAGTGTTTTGACATGATCATTATACTAATGTAAACTTAAAATTACGCATGAACTTGGCCTTTAGTAGTTAATGCTCTGTGCTGTCTACAGAAGTATAGAGAAAATAAGCTCTTCCAGTGCAGGCTATGAAGAAAGGACCAAGTGGCTCCATTGTCTATTGTTGTAGCTAGTTAGAAATGCCTTTTTTGGTTTGTTCTTCCCTTTGATATGCTCAATGACTGTACTTTGTCTAAGTGTTTTAGCTGTTGGGCAGCATATTGAAAAGCTGTAGATGGTACATGCAGATTCTGCTTGTCTGTTCGTGTATGCGTGGTTTGATGTGTTTGTCTTTTAAGCTCAGAATTGAGCAATAATGTTTTGAATCTACAGAATACACCCATTTTCCTTTCCACGCTGAGGCATCCTACTAGGAAGTGTATTTACTGTGGCAAAAGGTTGCAGTGGTTTTTTTCAGTGTGTCATCTCCTGTTGCAGTGTTGAAACTTCTTATTTAAATGAAGCCTTCCGAAGCACTCTACTGACAGCTCTGCTGTCTCTGTGTGTTGTAGGAGCAGGATTGGTCTTGGTATATCCAAATATGTCATGGGCCTCTCTGAAATGAAGTATTTGTTGCTGAAAGATCCTTTGCTGGGACTAGTGTGTAAGGGCTTAATGCATATATAGAATCCTAGTTTCTACATTAACCATTTGGTGGTCTTGGGAATCAAGCCTGGGGTAGAGAAAGGCAGTGCTGACTTGCCTCCGTAGCTGGTTTAGTACTTCTTTCAGAAGCACCTTGCAAATCTGAATGTCCAAATGTTTATTAGCATTATACTTGTAGTTAGAAAGTTCTTGAAATTATGTTTGGGAATTTGGGGAGTTTTAATGGTCATCTACCTTCTTCCATGCTCTTAACACCCTGACTGAAGCAGTAGACACATCCTGAAGTCCTCACTAGACAAGTGATTGATGAGACTCTTTGGGCCAGTACACTGCTAGCAACGCCGCTCAAATCCTTCGATGGACCACATGCAACATTAGCCTTTTGGAGGTTAGTCACTTAGATGTGTAAACAGAGGAGTGTTAAAAGCCTGGGAATACAGTGTTCTCATAGTGATCCAGAAAAAGTAGTGGGAGGGTGATACAAGCTTTGCAGGCTCTGTAGGGTTACACAAAGAGCCTGGAGTGTGTTCTACAAGTGGGTTACTTGCCACAACAGTTCCTAGTCAGCGCTAACTTATGATACCTGTAACACAGATTTTAATTGATTACTAAACAGATTACTAAAGTTGATGCAGTTTAATCATCAATGAAGTTACATCAGTTAAATTTGCTGATGGAAACCATTGTTGGATATGTCTCTTCATAAAGTCTACTACAGAGTGCTTCATGGCTGCAATTAGAGATGGACAGCTACTTTTGGTATCTGGGCCAAATGCCTTTGGGAGTAATTACAGCTGACTTCCAGCTTCTTTTAATATTACTATGAGCAGGTTTTTCACTTCCTGTCATGCAACTGTTAATCATCTCTATCACACTGTGCAGCTGCCCAAATCTTCTGCAATTGCTGGTTATCTGCCTGGCAGATGTTTTGTGTAGACAGAAGTACTGTGAAGCATGGCACTTCTCAGTGGTGCTTATTGTCTATGCTGAATATAATGTTAGAGGCTCAGAGTTGGCATTTGACTCAAACCAGAAAACCCATCACCCTCATCCCTAGGAGGAGTAAGTTTTGGGTCTGTGCCATTGTGGATTGTGTTCTGACCAGAGACCCACCTAAAGCAGCCGGCCAGACTTCTAGGTACACCCTGGCAGAAATGTAGTGTTCAGAGTTAATTGCCTGTTCTCTCCCTGCAACTTGTATTTGCTTCACAGTTGTTAACACTTGGTGCAGTCTGTTTGTGGAAGGAAGCTAATTGCTAAATATCACTTCTTGGTGAAATCAGGTGGGGGATGGTAACATCACAGAATCAGTGAGATTGGAAGGGACCACAGTGGGTCACCTGGTCCAACCTCCCTACTCCAGCAGGGCCACCCTAGAGTACATGACTCAGGATTATGTCCAGATGGTTCTAGAATAACTCCAGTGAGGGAGAATCCACAACCTCTCAGTGCTCAGTGACTGCACAGGAAAGAAGTTCTTATAATCAGGTAGAACTTCTGTGCCTCAGTTTTTGCTGTTACCTCTTGTTTTATTGGTTTCCCCTACTGAGAAGAGCCTGATCCATCCTCTTGGCACTTCCCGTTCCTGTACTTGAATACATTAACAAGGTCCCTCTCAGTCATTTTGTCTTGAGACTGAACAGGCCCAACTCTGTCATGAGATGGACATTGCAAACTTCCAAAATTCATAGACTCATAGAATTTTACGGGTTGGAATGGACCTTAGAGATCATCCAGTCCCAAGCCCCTGCCCTGGGCAGGGACACCTCCCACCAGAGCAGGTTGCTCAAGGCTTCATCCAGCCTGGCTTTGAACACTGCCAGGGTTGGGGCAGCCACAGCCTCCCTGGGCAACCTGTGCCAGTGTCTCACCACCCTCACAAAGAAAACTTCTTTCTCATATCTAACCTAAATTTCCCTCTTTCAATTTGTACCCATTGCCCCTTGTCCTGTCACTGCAGCTCCAAACACAGAGTCCCTCTCTGGCAAGAAAATTCTTGCAGCTAGCAGCTTCAGGGGTTACTGTGGATAGTTTTTTTCTTCTTTTCAGATATAACCAATTTACAGACTCTGTCTAACATTATCATTAAGGTATGAAACAGGAGAAAGTACAAAAACTTTCTGAAAGAACTGGTACAGTTTGTTACTAACTGTATGATTCTGAGTGTCAGGCCAGACAAGTCCTCACTGTAACATCTGGTTAAGAAAGGCAACTCTTGTTCTTCATTCACAGTATAGTGACCAGTTTCTTTTGAGAAACAAACAAGCCAGGTGCTGGTTTTATAGGCATTGTGTTTTTTCTCTCCAGGTCGTGTTTACTGTAGCAGCTAAAGGCAATCAGAATGCCTCTCAATGATGAGCAGAACAGTGATTCAGATTCCTCACGCCTCTCAGAAAGCACAGCTGCTTCCAGTGACTCGGAGTACTCAAGGCAGAGCTTTACCAGTGATTCATCAAGCAAACCCAGTTCTCCAGCATGTAAGCCTAGTTCAACCTTACCTGCACTGTGCTTAGACCAATAAGGCTAACTTCTCTTGTTTCTCTTTGCTGTCGTGGGTAGAACCTGGGATTCTGAATCTGTTTGAGTGTTGAGAGAAAGGCATGGTCTTCTCTCTGCTGTGGAGCAGTGAATCTCCTTGTGTGTGGAACACCAGCAGCAGCTGTATCCACAGGGGTCTCCCTGTGCACTCCTTCCCTGCAGAAAAGACAAGTGTGCCACCATGGACATGCTGATATTGAGCTAACCTTGACATTTGTAGCAGTCTCCCATTCGAACCTTTGGCTTTGTGCAAAGGGTTGGTTTCTTCTGTTTGATCCAGCTGCTTGAAAATCGATTCTGTAATTTACAGATTGTAATATTATATCAAGTGACATGGAATTAATCTCCAAGTCAAACAGAAAACACGTGTTTGCGCAAGGAAGATGGTTTGGGTAATGATAAATAAAACCGTGGTTAAGGTGTGCTTCATGTTTGTGTCATGGAATCATAGAATTTAAGGGTTGGAATGGACCTTAGAGATCATTCAGTCCCTAACCCCTGCCCTGGGCAGGGACACCTCCCCACAAGATCAGGTTGCTCAAGGCTTCCTCCAGCCTGGTCTTGAACACTGCCAGGATTGGGGCGGCCACCACATCCCTGGGCAACCTATGCTAGTGTCTCACCACCCTCACAGGGAAAAACCTTTTTCTAATATCTAACCTAAACTTCCCATGTCTGTAACCATTCTCAGGCCCTGCATACCTCTTCTATCTATGTAAGTGATCTGGATTAAAACAAGCCTGTTAGTGGAGCTGCAGTTGCCTGCTGGCTTTTTCTTTCTTTGCTGCTGGTCTTCCAAACACTACATTAGTGCTAGTATTTACTCTTTGTTTCCAATGTAGAATTTGTTTCGTTGTTACACTCCTTTTCTACAAGTAAGTAGTAACTTGTGTTTCACAGCAGATGAAAGATCGGCTGGTCAGAAGTAGGGGATTCTCAAGTCAGTAACTCCAGAACCTTCTCAACAGGTAGTAAAGCCACAAAATAGCCATTATGTACTCAGAATTATAATGGACATCTGGTATCTGTTACTGCTTGTGCTTTTGGTATGGTGGATTTGGCAGAACAGTCAATAGGAAATCTGTGGAATGCTAGATCTTGTTTTAAAAGGGGAGGAAAAAAGATATCCGAGTTCAGATGCGGAAATGTGAAACTGCTTCTCAAATATTTTAAGGCTTGTGTGGTATTACCCCCTACATGCACACCCCTGATAAGCTGGGAGTTCCCTGAGTTAGTGTTTTAAGAAGATATAAAGACCTCGTAATCTGGAGTGCGGGAGGCCAATTAGCAAGGAGTAAAATTTCTAGGGTTTGGTGTTTTCAATTGCACTTATCAATCAGAGATACTTGACTTGAATTGATCTTGTTTGTTCCAGCAGCAAGCCCTCCCAAGGTTATTACATTTGATGAGCTGATGGCAGCTACAAGAAATCTGTCAAACTGGACTTTAGCTCATGAAATTGCTGTAAATGCAAATTTCTGCATAAAACATGAAGACTTCCCACAAAACAGGTAAGAGCCTGAATTTTGCAAAGAGCAGCGCTGGGGTTGGGAAGAGAGATGAACAGAGCAGCAAATTAAAAAGAACCCCAAACCTCCAAACTAAAACGTCTTGGAAGGCTGCAGATTTTCACCTTGTACCTCCAGGAGTTACTGTCAAAGCTTGGGACAAGTGGTGTGGTTCATCTGAGTTGATAGGTTGTCTGGGAGTATTCTTAAATGTCAACTGGAAGAGAAAAGGCTAATGCAGTATGAATGCCTATAGTGAAGATGAGTATTGGTTGGTCTGTGCAGTTCCTGGCCTTGTGGAGTAGATGAAATGGTGACCTTCTCTGCAGGTATATGTGATAGCTCATTGGTGACCTGATGATCCATAGGCCAAGGAAGATGTGGTTGCAGGGCATAATACTTGAAGTGTTTCCCAACAAGTGATGAGGCCAAACTAAAACAGTTACCAAGGGTGAAAGCTAGTTGGAAGTCTTGTCTGTGTCTAATTGACTTACTCCACAGCTTTGCAGGCACAGTGAAACAAATTGTGCACAAGGCGTTTTGGGATCATTTGGAGTCAGAACTCAACGAAGATCCTCCAGAATATGAACATGCTATCAAGCTCTTTGAAGAAATTAAGGAGGTAATGTTCCTCCTTGTCTGTGGTGTCAGCTTAGGTCTGAGACTCTTACTTTACTGGAGGGTCTGCTTAACTTGGTCAACAAGCCAAGACCTTCAGTTCTTCCTTTTGAGATGAACCATGGTTATTCACAGTTGGGAATGAGTGTCCATTTATAGTCCATAAAACCAGGAATGTGGCCACAAACACAGTAGCACACTCAGTTTTCACTGCATGATGATGAGTGGAACTCAGCTTTTTTTTCACAAAGCTTCACATCTTTACTAGCCTATTTCCAGTATCACACTGAGCTTGAACAGCAGTATAAATATGACTCCACCTGCCTACTTAGACTTCCTTGTTTGATTATTGCACAGGTGAGTATACAAACTTTCAATCCTGGCACAATGCTCAGTTTTTCAGAGTTTTGAGTTAGTAAATGTTTGTTTTCCAGGGCAGCCTCACAGCTTTTGAAAGAGTCTAGTTGTTGACATGCTTTCTGTTTTACTGGCATCTTGGCAGAACAGTACTGTGATCCCTTTAGTGGTCTTAAAGGTACCTTAACAGCTACCTTAGCTAATGTTTAGTCTTAAAATGTCTTGTTGTAGTCAGTCAGCTACATCCACTTGACAGGAATATTAAAATCTTACTTCAGTGTGTGTATGAGGTAGTTTGGTGCTTATTGATAAGATTTTCCTTGTGGTTTTTTTTCCCCCTTCTACTTTAGATTCTTCTTTCCTTCCTGACTCCTGGAGCAAACAGGATTCACAATCAAATCTGTGAAGTTCTAGATACAGATCTCATAAGGCAGCAGGCAGAACATAATGCTGTTGATATTCCTGGGCTAGCTAACTATATCATCAACACTATGGGCAAGTTATGTGCTCCAATAAGGGACAATGATATAAAACAGTTAAAAGCAACTGACAACATCGTGGAGTTATTGAGGTTGGTATTTGGGTGGAGTCCTTAGAGGAAAAGCCTCTTCTCTGGAGTTCTGGGCAATGAAAGAGGGGGGGTAAAGACTTAAGAAGTCAGAAGTTGTGTTGGTTTACATAACTCCTGTTCTCAAACTATAGGAGAACTAACTTTTTGTACAGAAGCATGAAAGGGGAAGAGCTATGACACTGACCAGATTGTGTATCTTACTTTGTAATTGGGTAGAAACTAGACGGCTCTTGAGTATCTAAGCCAACAGCTCTTGCAATAATCTGTGTTTCAGAAATTGCTTTTCTCAGTCTTGTTCATACTTAACAAAATGCAGGCAGCACATTTGTACTCTTCCTTTTTGAAGTGTTCATTGCATGTTTCCTCTGGGAGGCCAAACTTTGGATTTAGAAGCTCTTTAAAGATCTTATTTCTTGAATTTGAGTAAAATATTTGCATAAAAGGGCAGGAACCAGTTTACTGCTCCTTAGGTTCACTGAAATACTATGAGTACTTGATAGTTGTTCTACTCTTTATATGCAGGGACCAAAGCAACTGAGTCAGAATTGTTTCTCGTGATGCAATTACTATCTAAAGTTAAAATCTGTTTGTTTAGGCTGAAATGTACCAATTGATGTAGTTCTTGAAAACCTTTCTCTTACAGGGTTTTAGCATCATTAAATGCTACATTTGTCCTGTTCTCTTTAACTCAGACCAAGCCTTATGCACAATAGTCCTGCAGGTATTCCAGAAGATAGGTAACACACCTGTTACCCTGAAATAGCAATTAAGGAGTTTACTCCTCCTAGGACTGAAATCAGAGTGCTAATGTACATGTGCTTCCCACGTGCTGGTTAAAATCATTAGCCTGTTGTAACTGTGAAATTTTCAACTCCTCCTTTCAGACAAATATTCCACGTCTTGGACCTGATGAAAGTGGATATGGCAAATTACACAATTAAAAGCCTTAGGCCATACCTCTGGCGTAATCTGGTGGACTATGAAAGAACCAAATTCCAGGAAATCCTGGAAGAAACACCAAGTATGTATCATTTAATATAGACTTCTCTTTCCAAAGAGGACTAAGTATGTATCATTTAATTTAAACTTTTCTTTAGAAGAGGACTGTTTAAAGAAATGCTATAAAATTCTACATGTTGCAGTTAACTTAGAGAAAAACTTCAGTGATTTTTGTAACATAGAAAAATATTTTTGACAGCCAACATCTGGAGCTGGGGCTTCTGCCATGGGAGCCCTGAGCCACTGACAGGGCCTGCAGTGTTTGTATGTGCAGTCTGAGGAGGTAACCTTTAAAGCATTTAACTTGCTTTTAATAGAGTTTATCTTCCTTCACATCTCCTTTTCAGTCCTATGTCCCAGCTGATAAGTGACCTATCTGAAAAAGGAAAAACAGTGCTTGGGGAACTCAAAATTTGATGCTTTTTTTGACCTAAAAATCTTGTCTAAAAATTTGTTGTTGGGTTTGTACAAACTAGCTAGAATATCAGGTCACCAGTGGAAGATGATCAGTGGAAAAAAGAGAGGGAGGGAATTAAGGTGTGTGAAGACTCAGCTGTCCACTCTGTCTGAGTCTTCAGAAGTTCAGTTCTCTTATGTGTACAGTTCTTTTTTTTCTTCAAGGCAGTGCTTATTTTGGTGAGGTCATGCAGTAAATCTGTGCTATTTGCAATGCTTAGGTGCCCTGAACCTCACAACAGAATGGATAAAGGAATCAATAGAAGATGAGTTGTCATCTGCTTCTGGTGAATCTTCATCATCCCCTGGTGCTGCTGATAGTAGTTCAAAACCAATTATTAGTCCTACACTGGTGCTAAACAATGGCTACTTGAAACTGTTACAGTGGGATTATTGCAAAACCATTCCAGAGGTAAGTATATTTTGGTGCCCTCAGTTTTCCATCCATGTGAAATCATCAGTGTAGTGTAGTCATCCTGCTGTTCATAGCCATGAGCAATTCTCTTGCACTCCTTCAATTTCTGCTTAGTGAATTGGAACTTCAGAGAGTATGCGCTAGAGTAGTTTTCAGAATTTGAGATGGGCAAGTCAACAGCTAGACAAAAAAACAAAGTAAAGGTTGTTCTCCCTCCCTCCAATCACAGCTCACCAGCTCCACCCTAAGAGCAGTCTTGGCCATGGTGAAAGGCTGGGCCTTGTACTCACAGTGCTTGGCTTTCTGGGTCTTAGAAAGAACTGACTGCAGGGTCCTCTTATCCTAACAGCAGCAAGAATTTCTGGGATTGCTCTTGCTTTAGAACAGAATCAGTAAAAATTTGAAGCCCTCTAAAGCAGATATTCTCTCTCTAAAGTTGATACTCCTTTCTCGGTGTATGTAACCTATTGCTCTAAGAATCAGTGTTCAGTTTTCCCCTCCAACTCCTCTTTACTGACCTCTGCAACTTCCCATAAAGCCAGTGTGAATTTGGCCATCAGTGAGGGCTAAGATTAGCATTTGCAGAGAGTGACTCACCTGCACCTGCCTGGCAGAGAATTTGCGAAATGCATGGGGATGCTCTCGGTGCTCTCAGTGGACAGATGCGAAACCACCTTATTATTACCTTTCTGTGGCCAGTTTTGAACAGGAGCTACACACAGGTATTCTCTAGTTCGCCCCACTATGAAATGGGTACCTACTACAGCAGGATGTTAACTCCCCTGTGCTGCTCAGTGGAGGGATAGGTCCAGGAGGGATAGGGTTAGGATGAACTCTCTCCCCTCAAATAAGTCACTCTAGCTACATCCTGCTGTGGGAATTACTTACATTCTTGGTATGATCAGCTGGCTGACTCTTTGCCTGTTGTGCAGAACCTGCTCTGGTGGTTGAGCTGGTGGTTGTCGTGCATAGTTGTTCATGACTGTCCATTACAAACCATGGCATTTCTCGAAGGACAACTGAATCCAGAGGACTGTTCTGTCATGACCTTGGTCACTACCATGTCCTCTGGATCCTCTGATCCTTCCATATTGTGGTGTGTTGTTAGTTGCAGGTTCATCAGGAGTGATGAGGAATAAGATGCAATGTCCCCAGTTTCCTCTGCACTGAAGGTGTTACTTCCCACCACAGACTTCCTTCTGGCACTGATGCCAGTTTGAGGCTCCAGAAACCCAGTTAGCAGGACTCAACCCCAGTTTGGGGGGATCAAATCATCCCAGTTACACATAATGCCACATCATGCAGTGCTACAGTCAGGGTGTTTTAGCCGTTGTCTCTTCTGGCTTTGCATATATTTGGTTAAAAGTAGTAATGCTTCATGACTACATCCTAGATCTGTCCTTTCCCTCTCTCTCCCTCCTTATTCCTAAATCAGTATTATTGTTTCAATTCTAGACTCTAATAACAGATGAAGTTCGTCTTCAGGAGTTGAGAGAAAAACTCAATCAATTAAAAATCATAGCTTGTGTTTGTCTCATAACGAACAATATGGTGGGTCCAGCAATTGTAGATGTGCCTGATTTTGCTGACCAGCTGAAAAGGATCTCTGTTCCTCTTCTTGAAGGCATGAACAAGAAGTAAGGCGTTGTTTTTAGCACTCTTAATTTTTCTTTTTTTCAACAGGAAACAGTTGGAAACAATTCTAATGTCATCATCAGAGCCTGTTATTAATAGGATTATACCGCCTTTTAATCATATATTCACTTTCTAATACAATTCCAGTATATGTTAGACACAGGTTTTCAAAGTTAGATTTTAACCTTGATGTTAGTCTGCAGAATCTGGTGCCTAGTAGTAAAGTTCATACGTACACTCCTAATACTGGAGAGACTATGACAATACATTCTGCCAGTTGCTTCAGACTTGTTGTAGGCAGCTGAAGTTACTTGGCTGTCTATTTCTGCTGGCACTTGCATTACAGGCAAGTCTGATGCAAGTTGAATGTCTCAAAGTAGTTTTCCATTCTGATTTTTCTCTTGAAGTGCTATACACATAGCCCAGAAAAACACCCAGGCACAAGGGAGAAGTGAACAGGTGTCACCACTGTACACTTGAAATTATTTTTCCTATCTGAATCACAGTTGAGTCCTTATAAAATAAGGAGGGAGGTCTGGAGCATCTCCCCTATGAAGACAGGCTGAGGTAGTTGGGGCTGCTCAGCCTGGAGAAGAGAAGATTGTGTGGAGACCCCAGAGCACCTTCCAGGATCTGAAGGAGCTCCAGGGAAGCTGCACAGGGATTCTGTGTTACGAACTGCAGTGATGGGACAAGGGGTAAAAGATTCAAATTGAAAGAGGGGAAATTCAGGCTTCTAGCCTGAATTAAGAAAAAGTTTTTTCCTGTGAGGGTGGTGAGACACTGGCACAGGTTGCCCAGGGAGGCTGTGGCTGACCCAAGCCTGGAAGTGTTCAAAGCCAGGTTGGATGAAGCCTTGAGGTGTGTCTGCCCAGGGTAGGGGGTTGGGGCTGGATGATCTAAGGCCCATTCCAACCTTTAAAGTTCTATGATTTTATCTTCTGCGTAGAGATTTTCCTGTATCGGTAGATGTACATAAGTCTGCAAAAGATGACTTCAGAGTTCTCCCATTGCAGAGAGCAAGTTGAAAATAAAAGGGAGCGGAGACAAGTGAGGTCACCTTGCAACCTATCCTATAGAACCTGCAGGAGTTAATGCTTTTCTGTTTCTTCCAGAACTTTCAATTTGAAGGAGGCTCTGCATGCTGTTGGTGTCCAGATTTGCAGCAAAGTGAACAAGTCTCTAGCTGACAGAGGTCTGCCCACTCTCAGTGAAGAAATGGAGAGTAATTTAATGGGTCAAATTGCTCATATTGTTGAGAAGAATAATCCTGTCTGTACCTTGATTGGTTAGTAAGATACTACAGAATTGTCATGTAAAGTGTCTGTATATAAACTTAATTCTCAGTAAGCTTAATCAGCAGGGTAATTATGCTTTAAAAAGCACTTTCTTACTGGAGTAGGGCTCAGTTAAGGCTAAGGAAGTGTTGTTTACCCATAGATGGTGTTCTTGGTATGCTGCAGAGCGTGGTTAGCCATGGTTATGAGTAACTTTAAAGGTGCCTGTACAGACAAGCTCAGGTCTGCTCGTATTCTGGGGAAGGATTTAGATAAGTGAATGCTATTTAGTCTTCTTTCTCTATTCTGGGTTTAAATGTAGTGGTTTTTTTCTTTCCAGTCCACTTCTATCAGGTAATACAACGTGCTGCAGTAGGGTTATGCTGTGTCCACCTTGCAGGAGCCAGATTTAAGCAGCTTTCAGTATTCCCAGCACAGGCATGGTAGGAAGGAGTTGTTGCTTACATGGTTGAATTTTTGGCTGTGCTGATGTGGCTGTGGCTTCGTCTTCGGATGACCTTTGTTCTGAGTGTACTTTGTATCCTGTTTCAGACAAACGAATTCAGCTCTTCCTGAGAAGCTTGCTCACTCTTCCAAGTGTTCAGAACTGTATGCCTGCTATGCCAGGAGGGCTGTCTGTGATCCAGGCAGAGATGGAGGTTGTTGGATCTCAGTATGCAAGCATTGTAAACTTCAACAAAAAGGTGTATGGACCATTCTATGCAAACATACTTAGAAAACTACTTTTTCCTGAGGCAGCGGTGGAGAAAGCAGAAGCAGAAACATCCAGCAATTGAAAAAATGACGTATTTCTGTACCCATTTTGTATCTTCCAAGACAGTGGGGGGAAGTCAGACCTCTGAGAACAGCCTGCTCCAGTGACTGTTAATGAGAAAGGTCTTGTACAGTGTATGAACATAGTTTGAAATTCACTGTAAAGAAATTAATTTCAAGGTCAAATATATAT